TTTGGATAATGCTTTCAATACAAAAATGTCGCCATGTTACCTGATTGTTTATGGCCAGAAAATGCTCAGAAGGATTTCTTTGCAGTATTTTGTGTTAAACTTGACTTTGAAAATCACTTTTAATCACATTACTAAAAACAAAGCAAGATAATGAGGAGGGAGAATTATCAGCCCCTAGATTTGATCAAAATTTCCCTTCGTCTTTGATATCGTTGCCTTGACATAGTGGCCAAGTTCTCAGAGCTTCCGGTTTCTCTAGGGGAACAGACCTAAACAACTGGCCTGCTATATCTCTGCCAGGTATGAATTTCTATGTTTTTTTTTCTGTTGTTGTTAAGTATTCCTGGGTTTCAGGGTTCCCTGGTGACTCAGTTCATTAAGCATCTGACTCTTGATCTCCATTCAGGTCCTGATCTCACAGTTTATGAGTTCGAGCCCCACCCACATCAGGCTCTGCGTTGATGGCATGGAGCCTGCTTGGAATTTTGTCTCTCCTTTCTGCCTCTCGCCCAGCTTGTGCTCTCTCTCTCCAAATAAATAAATAAACTTAAATTGTTTTAAGTGTTATTGGGTTTAAACAAGGCCTCTTGAAAAACAATAAGCTAAAAATTTAAACTGGAAAACATTTTAATTGCTTGAGTGAATTAAGACACTTATTTCCACTATTTATGTAGATTTGAAAAAAAATTACACACAGTTTTTTAGCCTTCATATTTTACAAATGTATAAAGGCAGCACCAAAATATATAGAGATCAAGTCAAAATTGGACATCTTAGTAATAAAACAGAAAATAAGATCTGGCTGTACAATAGAATGGCAGTGAGTGGTTTTACCTCATGAGATGGGTACTTCAGAAATTAAAATAACTTCACATAATGCAAAAACTAAGGCTATCTTATTATTATAGTTATTAGCATTACTATTAGCATAACAGTTTTTTACCACCTACTATATATCAGGGTCTGTGATGTTTAACCTCATTTTAAATTTTATCCACATTATTGCCTGTAGGTACAATTGTAATCTCAGGAAAAGTAATCAAGACTCAGAGAAGTTAAGTAATGTGATGAGATGACAAAGCCAGTGAGCAGCAGAACCAGATCTGGAACACAGGTCTGCCTGATCTTCCTGTGCTCTTAATCATTGCCCTAACACTCACTCTGCTCATCATATGCCTGAATGACACACCATTGTCCATTACCTATCCTACCACATGAGGTCCTTCTTGAGCTGACCCCCAACCTACCTCTTCAGAGTTATTGTCCACTGCTCCCTTTTGTATGTGCTTCATTCAAGCAAAATGGAATCACTTCCTTTTCCCACCTTTGTGTCTTTGACCAAGCTATTTGTTCCCAGACCTGCATTACTAAACATATCTCAGAATATTATACTTATTTCTGTGAAATGACTTTGCCTTGTATGGAAGCAATGAGTGCCGCCCTCAATTCTCATCATTGTTCTTCTTGTGTGGCATTTATCAACTCATTATTAGGAATTATAATTCATATGTCTAGATTTATCACCTCCACTAGAGTGGAGTTCTTATGCACAGAATCAATGAAGAGTGTATTTTTGTATCTTCAAGGCACTTAGCACAAAGGGAATGTGATGGGTTTAGAATATTAGTTAGAAAGTTTACAAATGAATTTTTTTTTAAGTCCTGGTAACATGCATTGGACACTTGAGCTGCTCTAGTCCAAGAATCACTTAAGAGGGTATCATTTAAGAAAGAAATCACTTAAGAGGGAAACACGCACATATTTACACAACACACACACTCAGAGAAATTAAGTAAAATAGAAGTAGAAATATGGAAAGCTGAGGTTATTTGTTGGTTTTGGCTAATTGTCACTGAAGCATAAAGAAAGAGAATCAACTCGGGCCCTAGGACTCTAGGGCTTCTTGTACATTCCCAATCCTCACAACCACTGATGCCCAGAATGAAGGAGTATATCTGGTAATTTTTAAAATTTCATCAAAGGAAAATCACTTCAGTATTTTCACTCTTATTTACCTCTCTGGTTAATCTATAAAACTCAAAATAAAATCGTAGCAGTGTCTGCACAGGAAAAACATCTGAACATTTACAGTTAATGTTAAAACTTCTTTTCTTGCCAAGAGATTTTAATTAGAAGCAGAAAACATGGATCAAATAAACTTTCAGTGTGCACACAGAATTGGTCTGCCCTCCCAGGCTATGGCGTTCTGCTACCAGAAGCTCTATGGCCAACTATTTATGGCTCTTAACAAAATGTTTGCCATCAAACAATGTCTTGGCTCTGTTTTCTGCTTACAGTATGTCTGTTCATCCTTAACTGCCTGCCTGCTTCACTTCCCTAGAAACTTCTACGAGAACTGAATCCATCAGCTTTCCACTCCTCCAAATAATAATCTGTCATCATTAAGAAAAAGAAAGCCATCTTATCCAAGAGCCCCGGGTTCACTACTTTTCATCACAACACTTCAGACTGAATCGCTATCATCTTATTGGATTATGTCATTGAGATTCCTTTCTCTTTTAGCATCCATCTGCATCCATATAATCAATCATTATATCATCAATTCTCCATTTGGAAATTTTCTGGGATTTTTCTCTTCATCATTCTTACCACCTTCAGCCTAATCCAAGCTGTGGCTTTTCATAGTCCGTTCATTCTGCACAGACCTCTGTGAGCCACAACGTGAACGTCAGTCCCTTCAAAGAACATGGTAGTTAACTACAAATGAGATCCAAACATATAATAAGAAAATGAGTTAGTTAAAAGATCTACACATCAGGCACACAATAACTATTTACTGAATGTAAGCATATAATCTATTCATGAATATTTTAATTGATAGAGGACTAAAATACAAATACAGCACATTCTTCATGTACAATTTCATCTTAAGTTATGTCACATGATATCTTTTAATATGTTTCTAGTTTCCGACTTATTCCACATTCTTACTGTCCAGAAGTAGATCTGACAGTAGCGGCCACAGATGGTAAATACTTATCAACTGAAAAATCCAAGATACTAATCATTACACAAATATTTTTCTAGTAGGTGTTTTTGGAATCGTTACTAACTTACTGGCTTTTGTTTCCTTTTCCTCCATAGATCATTATTCCCGGATTGGACTACAACAGATGGTAGAGATGACTTATTTTTCGGATGTTCTAAATTTTTTTAACCTCAATTTACAATTGAGGAAATAATAAACATTCTTGACTACCTTGAAAACATGTTTAATTTCTGTGTGTTTAAGTAGTATGTCAAGTTTATTCACCAAGACCCAGAACCAATTTACTGTCCTCGAACTTTTTAAATGCTTTATTTACTCTAACCAATACTAATGTAACCAGAACACCTAGCATGTTGTAATTACACAGTAGATATGTTGTGTAGATGTACAGAACAATTACACTTGAAAAGTTGAAATATTGCCTTCCTTAGCAACAGAATAGATCCTAATATTTAATAAAGAATGAACAGCACAGGGGAGAAATAAGAAAATGTGTATTTTGTTTGAGGCCATATCTTTCAAAATGCTGTCCGGAGCCATGACCCTCAGTCACTGTGCTTCCTCAGCACCTTCCTTGTGAAATATTCAGAAGACTCTATCTAATTATCTGAGGAATACTAATGCACACCTTTATTTTACTAAGTTATCTGTGTCAATAGGAGGCATCTCCCAATTAAATTCCTCATTTTACAATAAAAAATAAAGGTCTACTGTCAAGTTATTTTGTTTTGTTAAATATCATAGGGTTGATAAGAGACAACACCAATATATTTTACAGGACCAAAGGATTGAGCTAACACACATGCAAGTTGATGTTTAGTATGTGGTAGGTGCCAAGGACCAATGTGTCTTATTTAATCTTCACCACAACTCAGGAGCCAGGCATTATAATTTTCTGAAGTTTTTAGATGTCAGCTGAAGCACAAGGAGTGTCCGGTTGGTCTGAGGTCACATGACCAGTTAGTGGTAGAGCATGGATTCAAATCAGCTGGTTTGACTCCATGGGCCATGCTCTTCCACAATCTGGAAGGTAACAGCAGCCTGAGAAATGGAACACAGTGCAGTCTGAGTAGAATTTGCAAATGCCAAGTAAAAGAATGCAGCAAGCTAAATTCTAGAAATAATAGAAGGGAGAATCAGAAATCAAAGTCAAGCACTGGGTAAATGTTAGAATCTATCTAAAATAGTAAGTGACCAATAATGGCTCTAGAGAAATCCCAATACCCTTTGGTAATGCAGTCCTTAAAACTGTCAGTGACACAAACTAATATGCTGCTAGCTAAATCATATGCTTCATTCCTGTCTTACAATTGTAAGCTAAGTCTCCTAGATGATTTTCTGTAGGAATAAAGCTCCAACGTTAGGAACAAAGTTAATACAAAAATAATATTTTCTTTACAGAATTTATTTACAAAAGTTAATTGCTACCTGACATTCATAGATGCACCTAGTCTGAATAGGAGAGCTACCCTTAGGTACTTTAGACCTGAACTCGCCAATACAGGAGCCCACTAGCCATATGCAGCTACTGAGCTCTTGAAATATGGCTAGTCGAAATCGAGGTATGCTATAAGTATAAAGTATACATTGGGTGTTGAAGGGGAGAAAAGCATGTAAAATATCTCATTCGTAACTTTTGTATTAACTATATGTTGAAATAATGATCTGGACATAAAATAAATTCTTAATATTAATTTCACCCATTTTTATTCTTTTTAAAAATGTTACTGCTAGAAAATTTTAAATTACATATATGGCTTACATTATATTTCTAGTGGAATGCTTTTGATCCGTTAAGTGCACTTTATGAATATACTAATATGTATTTACTTGTATTATTACAGAGTTTGAATCATATGCTAGGATTAAAACTTTTCTTCTGAATTCATACCTGATATAACTTTTAGCTTCTGATTAAATGCACCACATTTACTCAAATGCACTTTTGTTTTCAGATTCTGAACAGAACAGTGAGAGAGAGCTCGCTTACTTTGGTGCCATACTCGTAAGACAGTCGCAAAGCGTTGGAGCCACCAACTGTTCAAAAGTGGCAATACCCGACGAATTCCAACCCTCACAGAACAAGCAATAAACATCTGAAACACAAGTCTATGAAGGAAGAACATTTAAAATAATATATAGACGATATGTACAATTTCTATTTTACACTAATGTGGTTTGTTCATCCAACAAAAATATAGTGGCTCACGTTTTAGGAAATTCTATTTGGAAAATAGACGGAAATCGTTCAAGAAAAAATAGTGATAAGTAGCTTGAAAATCATATGCTGACTAAAAGATTTCTAATAAACACTAAGGAGTCACATAGAATTTTGCTGTCTGAACATTTTAATTGGCAGAAATCAGAAAATAACAACAAATCTTTCATGTAACAAAGTGAAGCAAATTATACCTATTTTTTAAAATGTCCTTATAAGTTTAAGAAGATTTTTATGATTTTAAAAATGGAGCTGTAACTATGGAATATGGCCCTGCGGGTCCCTTTTGCATGTGGGAGTGTCATCTGATGACAGTGGTGGACGGTAGCACTTTCCAAAGTGCTGGTGGTGCTTCATTCAGGACCAGGGGCCTAATATATCCTCTTGGCTCCCACCAGAGTTCGGAGCCTCCTGGCTGTTCCTGTGGGAAATTTTCCAGGCTTGCTTGGCCTGATGAGTGGGGAGTTCCATGTCTTACGCTGAAGCTAAATAACAGGGGCAAACAGTCAATTTAGCAGAATTAAATGTTCAGATGGCCATCCATAGGGCACAGGTCCAACCATGGAATGTCAATCCATCCAGTTTATTTTTCTTGGATGTTTAACAATCTCATCTCAGCAAGGATGTCACCACATCTCTGGGGAATCTTCTACAAGGAAGGACAGGCCGAAGCTCTTACCTGTGATGCTTGTGGCCAAAGCCAGCTCTGAGACACTCTGGTGTCATCCACATACAAATACAAATATATAAATAATACTTCCAACCACTAATCTTATTTCCTTTCTTTTAGTTTTTAAAATCTTTATTTATTTTTGAGAAAGAGTGTGTAAGCAGGGGTGGGGCAGGGAGAGAGGCAGACAGAGAGTCTGAATCAGGCTCTAGGCCCTGAGCTGTCAGCACAGAGACCAAAGGGGGGCTCGAACTTACAAATCACAAGATTATGACCTGAGCCAAAGTTGGATGCCCAACTGATTGAGCCACCCAGGTGCCCCTCATCTTCTTTTTTACTAGCAAACTGAACATTAAAAATTTGGGACATCTGAAAAAAATTGTCCTAGTTGCTGTGCTTGGAGAACATTAAGATGAAACATGGCATGTTTGCAGTGGAGATGGTTTAGAAGAGGATGCATTACAGGAAGATGGGCCTGCTTCACAAGCCATTTGAGTAAAGAAACATGAAAACTGTGTTTGGAAACTTAAGCTCTTCTTATTTTGAGGAACACATATCTTCAGGGAAACTGAGGAGTTCTGACATTTAAAGGGATTTTCTGTGATTTTTAAGAAGAGTGTACAATCTTCTCTTTTCTTTTGTGGACTCAGTTAATCATCTTAGAAACTTAATATTTTAGGTCTCCTAATTTTGGCCTGAGTTATATGATAAATAAGTCTTCCCTAGGAAAGTTTCTTAGAACTATCAATCTGTTGGTAAAGATCTATATTCAAATGTGCTTAGTACGTTTGAAACTAGACACTATCTCAAGGTTTTGTTCTGATTTAGTATCTCCTAAATGCATCTTTTTTTTAATGTTTTATTTATTTCTAGGAGAGAGAGAGAGACAGCGTGAGCAGGGGAGGGTCAGAGAGAGAGGGAGTCACAGACTGAAACAGGCTCCAGGCTCTGAGCTGGCAGTCAGCACAGAGCCCGACGCGGGGCTCGAACCCACGAACCGCGAGACCATGACCTAAGCGAAAGTCGGACGCTTAACCGACTAAGCCACCCAGGCGCCCCATAAATGCATCTGTTTGAAACTGTCTTGTTTGAACATGTTTTATTTATGGTGTGATTTTACATTAAGAATTATTCTCAGAAAAAAATAATTCTAGATGTTTATGTGTAACCAACATGTGTGAAAGCTTTGTAACATATAACATTTACCATCGATACAATTTCAAACAGAAAAACAATAAAGTATTAAAGTATATGTGGCAGGTAGGGTAGAGAACCACTCTATTTAGTGTTACACAGAAGCAGTAGAGATATCATATCCACCCTGATGGAAATTATACACTAATTGTGGAGGCAGGACTGACATGTGACATGGGAATGAAAATTATAGAGTAAGAGTGAGTGTTAAACTTTGTAATGAATGCCAGTGGGTTCCAAGAAGTCTTGATGCAGCAGGAAAGTTATCATTGAAGAGAAGGTACCTGTGAGAGCTTTAAAGAATAAATATAACTTGGACAAATAGAAGAAAAAGAAAAAGATGTTCCAGGAAATGGGAACAAAATGAAAGAATATAGAAAAATAGTAATTTGATTTGCCTGTGAAATAATGAGGACAAGAGGCTAAAAGAAAAAAATATATATGTGTATATACACATATATATTTTTTTGTTTTTATCTTCCAAAGTACCTGATTTAAAACCATTGTCCTCTTACTTTAGCCTGTACTACAAAGCTGCAATCATCAAGACAATATGGTACTGGCACAAAGACATAGATCTATGGGACAGAATAGAGACAGAATAGAGAAACCAGAAATGGACCCATAAATATATGGCCAACCAATCTTTGACAAAGCAGGAAAGAGTAACCAATGGAAGGAAAAAAAAAAAAGATAGTCTCCTTAGCACATGGTGCTGGGAGACCTAGACAGCAACATGCAGAAGAATGAAACTGGACCACTTTCCTACACCACACACAAAAATAAACTCAAAATTGATGAAAGACATAAATGTGAGGCAGGAAACCATCAAAATCCTACAGGAGAAAACAGGCAACAGCCGCTTTGACCTCCGACGCAGAAACTTCTTACTTGACATGTCTCCAAAGGCAAGGGAAATAAAAGCAAAAATAAACTATTGGGACTTTGTCAAGATAAAAAGCTTCTGCACAGCAAAGGAAACAATCAACAAAACTAAAATGTAACCAAGAGATTGGGAGAAGATATTTGCAAATGACATTGTCAGATATAGGGTCAGTATCAAAAATCTATAAGGAACTTACCAAACTCAAAACCCAAGAAACAAATAATACAATTAAGAAATGGGCAGAAAACATGAATAGACACTTTTCCAAAGAAGACATCCAGATGGCTAACAGACAAATGAAAAAATGCTCAGCATCACTCATCATAGGGAAATACAAATCAAAACCACATTGAGATACCACTTCACACTGGTCAGAGTGGCTAAGATAACAACTTAGGCAACAACAGATGTTGGTGAGGATGTGGAGAAAAGGGAACCCTCTTGCACTGTTGGTCGGAATGCAAACTGGTGCAGCCGCTCTGGAAAACAGTGTGGAGTTTCTTCAAAAAATTAAAAATAGGATTACCCTATAATCCAGCAATACCACTACTAGGAATTTATCCAAAGGATACAGAACTGCTGATTCATAGGGGCACATGTACCCACCCCAATGTTTATAGCAGCACTATCAACAATAGCCAAATTATGGAAAGAGCCCAAATGTCCATCAATTGATGAATGGATAAAAAGATGTGGTGTGTGTGTGTGTGTGTGTGTGTGTGTATGTATCTCCAATGGAATATTACTTGGTGATGAAAAAGAATGAAATCTTGCCATTTGTGACAACATGGTTACAACTGAGGGTATTATGCTAAGTGGAATAAGTCAGTCAGAGAAAGACAGATATCATATGTTTCCACTCATATGTGAAATTTGAGAAACTTAACAGATGACCATGGGGAAGGAAAGGAAAAATAAGTTACAAACAGAGAGGGAGGGAGGCAAAGCATAAGAGACTCCTAATTACAGAGAACAAACTGAGGGCTGATAGGGATGAGGGATTGCGGGGGGCGGGGAAAATGGGTGAGGGTCATTGAGCAGGGCACTTGTTGGGATGAGCACTGGGTGTTGTATGTAAGTGATGAATCATGGGAATCTACTCCTGAAGCCAAGACTACACTATACACACTGTAGGTTAGATAACTTGACAATAAATTATAAAAACAAAAGACAAAACAAAACACATCATCCTCTTAAGACCAGTTATTAGATAATGTTATTAAATTGTGTTAGTCAAATTCAGTCAAGTCACTTTGTATGTATGTACTTAATCATGATCAAAACAAGTTCTAATACCAATATTTATTTGGATAAATTTAAATTTAATTAATATCAGTTGTTATTTTTCCTTCAACTTACAATAGGATGAAACCAGGAAGCTTCTGGTATATGTTCAAGGCATTCACAGATATCAACAAATAGAATTACCAATTTGGCATCATTATCTTCATGATTATGGTTTTGCCAAAGAAAGTTCAATTAGAAGAAACATTCTGCTACTCCAAGCAGAGATAAGCACGGGTGTAGTTGGAACTCACCCCGTTTTGTGGGTGAGGGAAGAAGTGCCAAACATCACTGGGATGTAAGATCACAGCTTTCTACATTGGCATGTTTGAGATTAGTTGACGACTAAAATGGGACCCTGAATTGATACCTTTCAAGAGATTTTGTCATAACAAGGAATGTAGTATGTAATTGCTGATTTTCCAAAAGACAAGTTTTCATATACTTAAATGAACCTTATGTAGAAGTTTTACTATTAGGAGGATATAATCAATCCAAATTCCAGCTCCATTTGACCGGGAAGAGTTGACTCATGGATAGGGTCATTTGATAGGTATTTCAGTCACATGAATAAGGTAAATCCTTTGACTCAAGGCCTTGACATGGTCTACAAGAAACTGATGAAGAAAACAACAACAACAACAATTTATTGTTAGGTAAAGTTGCCACCCTGGAAAGACGGACAGAAAGCAGTTAACCTTGTAGATAGACCAGTGGTGGAGAAAATTCTTCAGGCTACAGATTAAAAT